GTGTATGCACAGTATTCATGCAAACACCTGTGTGTCTACGAGCATATTTCTGTATATGCATATGTATGTATGCACGCATATGTTTTCCATCTGCTGAAAGGATCTAGAAGCAATTACACCCTATCAGCAGTGAACAGACTTAGCACTCGGATCTTCATCTCTAACATCATTCTCAATAAAAGGAACCAGGGCTCCTTAGAGAAACGGCTGATTCCAAGATTGAGGCAGGGAAATCAGAAGTTGAGCCTGAGATACCTTGTTAGGATAGAAAGTAAGAAAGTGCTCAAAAAAAGAAAAATGCACAATGAGAGCATGTCACAAGGACACAGGAATAAGCCTGAAGAGGCTCCTGCTGGACAAATCTGAAACAATTTGAACACCAAAATAATTAAAGACATTAATGTATGATGAAATATTGAAAAAATAGAATTTCACAAGACTGTATGATGTTAAATATTTTTAACAACAACAAAAAGCTCAAATCTGAATCCTTGCCATGCGCTAGTTTGTTTAAGCTCCATAGTCCCCTATTCTCCTTCTATATTAAACAAATAATATAGAATAGAATAGAATAGAATAGAGTAGCATAGAATAGAATAGAATAATATAGAATAAAATTATTTTCTCCAGGAGGGGGAAAAAAAAAAGCTCAACTCTCAGTCCTCACTATGTGATAGTTTGTTTAAGCTCCAGAGTCCACTACTGTCCTTCTATATTAAATAATGGATAAAAATTAAAAGCAAAAACAATAATAAATAAGCAAAGTTGGGGCTCCTGCTTATGGTAAAACACTGAGTACTGACTGCTGGGTACATGTGGAGCCTTTATAACCATCACAGTAAAGATGGGACTAGGCAAGAATAATGATCAATCTAGTGGAAAGTTTTGAAGAGGAGCAGGATATTTGATTTACAAGTGTCTCCTCACAGATTGCTTATTAGTTGCAAGAAAAAAAAAAAACTATGTAGTGTAGACGTTTGAAGGAGTAATCAAAATTAATTCACAAGTGAGGGTAGATAAGTATGTGTGTATCCATATGTGATACCCTGAGGACACATTATTTACAGAGCATTATGGCCAGGGATGTTTAGCTCAAATTGAATCATGATGAAATATCAGACGAACCCTAAATGAAAAACATTCTACTACAAAAAAAGAGGGTGAGGGACATTTTCTTAAAAAAGTGTCTATATTGTAGAAGACAGAAAGGCTGTGGATATGCTCCAGATTAAGCAACAATAAAGAGACATGACAAGTAAACACAATATCTGATTCCAGAGTGGATCTTTGACTGGAGGAAGAAAAGGACTTTATTGGATCAATTGGTGGTAAATGATATAGATTAAAGTATGGTATCCGTGTTAAATTTACTGAAGTTGATAACCACAGTTTGATTATATAGGAGTATATCCATATTCTTAGGAAATATCACTAAAGTACTTAGGGGTACAGGGATGTGTATGATGCTTGAGACTTACTTTCAGAATCTTCAGAAAAAAAATCATATGTATATATGTGTGTATACATCTGTGTGACTGTAAATGTATATATAAAATTCATATACTCACACAGCACAAATGATAAAGCAGATGGTCTAAAATATTAGCAATATTGTAATGTTTACCTTAGTATATATGGTCTTTGCAATCTTATTCATGCAATTTTCTGTAAGTTTAATTTTTTTCCAAATAAAAAATTTAAAAAGTGTTTCCTTTTTGTAGAAACAAAATCATTTTTATTGAAACTTTAATAGTGCACATTAGGCATTTTTAAAAATCTACAAAAACAACCACCCAGCACATACATTTTATAAGAGGCAGTAGATTTATGTGTTTAACACAAGTAAGTGACATCAGGATCTAGACACGTCGTTTGTCCCATTTCCTCACCTTGATTCTTCACATGGTATGTATTCAATCATTTTAACTTTGCACTTGCGATTTCTCAATGTCCTGCGCTTGCCCCCACCCAGAGTCCCCCTTAATCTATCCTCTGCAATTTGTAACTTAAGTCAATGTGAAAAATTGGACAAAAAATTCTTCAGGAAACTATGTAAGGGAGGAGTTTTTATTTATTTACTAGAGCAACTTCATATATTAAACTTAAACTATATGAAGAACATTTTTGTAACTGCTTACCATTTTAGTGCATTCTTTTTCCTCAAAGTTCTTAAGTGTGTTTTTCAAAGAAAGTTGAATCTGTAACTATGAAAAAGGACCTATTGCCCTGACCCAAAATAAGTAAGGACACTACTGAACACTTTGCAGCTCTGTCCTCTGTGTTGCAAGTGGTTTTTTAAAGTTCTTACATCACTTACCCATTAAAAATAAAACTAGGCTGCTTTTGGTGAAAATGGAAATAGTAATTACCTTCTTAAAATACCCCCTTAAAAAAAACAACAACAGGGTTTCTTTTACATTGCCAAAAGAATTTGTTTGAAGGAAGATAAAAATAACATACATACTATTTGAAAGCAGCCTGGTTTAAGGATTGCCATCGAGTCTCATGTTATACCACTCAGAAGTAAGACATTTAGAACCTGCTCATTACTTCGCATCCTTCATTTATGGGATCAGATTGCTTTTATGGGCATTGTGCCAGATTCACTGATGTGCACTGTAAGGCAGATTGCAGAGTGAAACATTTTTCTAGAAAACATCTGGTTCTTAAGAAAAGTATTAGAAGGAGGGTAGCACATTTTTGCTCATAACTGGGACTTATCGTGTTACAGTAACTCCCCTCTAATCTGGCAGGCAGACTTCCAACAACCACAACCAGGAACCTAGATATAAGTGAAAAATACCTTAAGAGTTCAAAGAAAACAGAGGTCCAAGATCCTATGCATATGAAGGAATGGTACTGCCCTTAGCTCAAAGACTATTTTATTCATTATAAAACTACTGGAGCCAATTAGCATAAGGGCTCCTGAAGTCACCTTTATATCGGTGACTCTTTCTGCAGTTCATTTGTTCCTTCACTCCCCTTGCAAAAATTGTGCACCCCCTGGACGCCACCATTTTTCTACTCAGGTTTTCCCCTCCTCTCTTTCTCGTACCTTCAATATTTACTGGCTTTTTTTTTTTTTTTTTCCTCCATAGATGCCCAAGTAGCTCTTATCTTAAAAGACAGACTTCTCACACTCTTATGGACACATCACTCTTCACCCTCAGCCTTATTTCTAAAATCTTTTCTATACCGACTCGAGTTCCTTGCCTTCCATTCGCAGGGCTTCCACTAGCCTATGAGAAAGTTGTATTCAAATTAGAAAAGGGAGTCCTCCTGCATGCGGATGCAGTTGCAGAGTGGTAAGACTTGGAGGATTTCTGCCTCCATCTCCTGCGCCCTTGGCTGGGTCACCCTCTGCAGTGCACACACCGCATGACCACACGTGGAGGCTCGGCAGGATTTCAGATATTTCCACTGGCTTCTAATTTATTATATTTGGTAGAATCATCATTAAAACTCTGTTACTGGAATAATGGACTAAAATTACAGAGTACTGGGTTTGCTCTCAATTCTTTATGTAATTGCAGGACTGTGCTCTTACACATCCCCTCTGGAACTCTTAAGTTCTAGTACCACTTCTGTTACCACTCCTACTACTACTTTCTCGCTGTCTTTTTTTCTATCTTCCACTTTCTGAATCTCTATCGCTGGCCATTGAAGTAATATAGATTACATTGTGCATTAACAATTAATAGTAAAGTGTGGTATTGAGAGTTGAAATGTCAGCTTTTGTTTAGCTTTTTCTCTTCATCTGTGTTCAGAAAAATAACTTTTAAACAGCAAAAAGCAAGTTTGAGAAGGCTGTTCTCTAAAAAACAAGAAAAACTTTTTTTTTAGTGTAGAATATATGTTAATTCCAGTTAACTTTTACAATGGTAAATAAATATTTCATCACTCAGATATAACTATGTTAACAATTGGGTTAGTTTCATCTAGTTTTGTATATTCTTATATGCATCTGTATTTTTGGCAAATGGATATATTATTATTTGAATAGTTACATTTTCCTCTTTTTTCACTTATTTTGTGAGCATTTTAGCAGTTAAAATCTTTCAAAAAAATTTTTTTTTGAGAAGGAGTCTCGCTGTTGCTCAGGCTGGAGTGCAGTGGCACAATCTCGGTTCACTGCAACCTCCACCTCCCAGGTTCAAGCAATTCTCCTGCCTCAGCCTCCCAAGTAGCTGGCATTATAGGTGCACACCACCATGTCCAGCTAATTTTTTGTATTTTAGTAGAGATGAGGTTTCACCGTGTCGCCCAGGCTGGTTGCAAACTCCTGAGCTCAGGCAAACCACCGGCCTCGGCCTCCCAAAGTGTTGGGATTACAGGCATGAGCCAAAAAAATTAAATACATAAATAAACCCTTGAAATAGTTTTCAATAATTACCTAGTGCTATATTGTAGGCCAAATCTTACATATTTGACAACCTCATGTTGGATGTTTTGATAACCAAAAGCAGGAAAAAATTCACTGTTACAATTTTTAAAATTGGAAACCTTTGAGAAAACTTTGTAATATTTCCTGTGATAAATTTCTCTACATGGGATCACTTGGTTAAACGATAGACTCTTATTTTGTGCTGCCAAATTCCCTTCAGGAAGGCTGTGCTACCCTTCAACGAGCAGCGTCCGAATGTGGTGGTTTCCTTGCACCTTTGCCAACCTTGCATTTAAAAAAATCTATCAGCATGAATGCTGTTATATGATCCTATTTTAAAGCTATTCACTTGTCATCTCCAGTCACAAACTAGGATTGCTCCTGTCAGATTCTTAATTGGTCTTTTGGTTTCCATAGTGATTCCATTATCTACTTCTACTCTAGTGCAAAGTTCAACCCGCTTCCTCAGCTGTCCATGCATAAAAGCCTTCCAGATTCCAGATTTGCTCTAGGTTCTTGACTTCTGGGGAAGAAAGCTATTTCCTCTTGGGACCCAGTTCACCATACTAGCTGAATTAAGGTCAAAAGTACATTAAATTTACAACTGCGTACTTACCATGAGGGGGGCAGGTGTCCAGATCTCAGATCCACAGAAAATTCTTTCATTTCTGCTGGGTCCCCCTGCTTCCATCCTGAGTGTAAGTCCCCAAACTTCCATTTAACATGTCATGGGCATTAGTTCCTTGAAATACTAGTTTAGAGGAGTCTGGAATCAAGACTGCCTAGTTTGAGCTCCAACTGTCACAGATCTTGGGCTTGTCACATGAGGCAATCAAATCCTTAAAGAAGACAAACATCAGAGGTAGTAAGTGCTGCATAGAGTTTAAAAAGGATAATATGATACAGAATCACAGGATGGCTACTTGAGATTGTGGGCCTGGACATGAACATGGTCTCTTTGAGGAGGTGGTGATAAAGTGATAGCTGATGGAAAGAAGGAGCAAACCTGGAGAAGGAAGCTCAGAGTAGGAAGCGGGGGTGAAGGGAGGGACAGGAGGAAGAGAATTCCACAGCGAGGAAAGCAGGGCAACAGCAAGCTCAAGGTGGATAAAATGACATGCTGCATGTGGAGTCTAGCATAATATTTGGTGGGGAGAGAGAGAGGAAAAGAGGGAAGTAGTTGAAGAAGAAAAATGAGGAGGGAAGGAGAGAGGGTATGAATGAGAATCTCAAATCCTGTAGGGCTGAGCTAAGGGACTTTACTCACCTTTTTCATCTTGCTTTGAACAGCATTTTCTCTTCTCAGTTGTAATTACTACTTGGCCCTGTTCTGCTTATAAGAGGAGCTACTATTTATTAAGAGCCTAGTGAGTCAGATTCATTATAGGTTTTATATAAGTTCCCTTTAATCCTTACAACCTGAGGCAGGTTATTATCCTTATATGCTTGTTTATGGGTGAAAAAACTGAGGCTGAGAGTGTGTAACTTGGAGAAAGATGAAACATCTGGGTAATGGTAGAGCCAAAACTTAAATCCAGGCTGGTCTGATTTCAGATCCGTGCTCTTGACTGCTACACTACATTGCTCCTCAATTAGACTGCTCTTTGATAGTTTCTCCATTTGTAACAGCTGTTCATTCCACTCAGTTCATCTTGTTCTTCATTACTTAGCTATCTCTGTGATACACCAGTCAGTTTCTTCTGCTAGCCAGAGGTAGACAAGATCACTTTTTCTTATAGAAACACTATTTCTTAGTTATAGAAGGCATCTTAATATAATAAATAAGGCAGAGGCTTTGAAGTTGACTGGGCCAGTATGGAATTCAGGCTCTGATACTTTTCTCTGAGACCCTGGGCAAATCATTTAGTCCAGGTCTTATCTTTCTTATCTGAAAAGTAGGAATATTATTTCTCTTAATAGCTGACTGAAAATTAAAAGACATAAAGTAAGGAAAGTCCCTAAAATAGCATCTAACAAATGGCAGGTGCAAAATAAATGGCTGCTTAAAAAACAAACAAAACCTTCCTCTCCTCTTACAGATAGGAAAACTGATTTGGAAATGTCTTGCTGAGAGAACAGATGCTCTATTTCTCTATCCAATTTCCATGATTCTAGCATCCCATGATGCAAGTTCATTGGAACTACTAAAGGCATTCTGTTATGCGATTTCTGCCCAAGTCAGCTCCGGCTGCAATAATATCACAAACCGGTGGGCTTATCAAGAAAACAAATCTATTTCTTACAGTTCTGGAGGCTGGAAGTCTGAGATCACAGTTCCAGCACCACCAGGTTCTCGTGAGGACCCTCTTTTGGTTGCAAATAGTTGACTTCTTATTGTGTCCTCACATGGTAGAAAGATAGCTAGAGTACTCTCTGGGGTCCCCTTTATAAGGGCACTAATCCCACTCACAAGGGCTTCAGCCTTATGACATAATTATTTCCTAAAGCTTCACCTCCCAATACTATCACATTAAAGATTAGGATGTCAACATATGAAGTTTGCGGGGACACAAACATTCAGTCCATAGAATTGTCCTTAAAAATGTCCACTCAGAGGCCGGGCGTGGTGGCTCACGCCTGTAATCCCAGCACTTTGGGAGGCCGAGGTGGGCGGATCACAAGGTCAGGAGATTGAGACCATCCTGGCTAACACGGTGAAACCCCATCTCTACTAAAAATACAAAAATTAGCCAGGCATGGTGGCAGGCACCTGTAATTCCAGCTACTTGGGAGGCAGAGGCAGGAGAATGGTGTGAACCCAGGAGACGGAGGTTGCAGTGAGTGCCACTCACTGCACTCCAGCCTGGGAGACAGTGCAGTGAGATCGCGCCACTGCACTCCAGCCTGGGGGACAGAGCAAGACTCCGTCTCAAAAAAAAAAAAAAAAAAAAAGTCCACTCAGGCTGAAAGATATTCCTCCACCTGAATTAAGAAAAAGAGGTAATGTTTCATGATTCCAGATTTGTAAAACAGGGATAATAATTCTGGCATTATAGGTTTGCGAAGATCAAATGTAAGAAATATAAAAGCATTTTAACATATATGAAGTGCCTCATAAATGCTCTTATTATTAAACATTTCTATGAAATGCCATAAACAAAAGCTAGGTGACAAGGCGGCCAGATCACTTGAGGCCAGAAGTTCGAGACCAGCCTGGCCAATATGGTGAAGCCCCATCTTTACTAAAAATACAAAAATTAGTCAGGCGTGCGCCTGTGGTCCCAGCTACTCAGGAAGCTGAGGCAGGAGAATTGCTTGAATCCAGGAGGTAGAGGTTGCAGTGGGGAAGATAGCACCACTGCACTCCAGCCTGGGTGACAGTGAGACTCTTTCTCAAAAAAAAAAAAAACAAAATAAACAAAACACACACACACACACCTGTTTTGCTAAGTGAAAAGAGGAATATTTGGAATTTTATAACATAATTGAAATGAAAAGGATTTTGAAAAATGGGAGAAATGATCAGAAACAAGAGAATGTCGTTCAAAACAAACACAGGACATTTAATAAAAAGCAGCAAATGACTTATAAATACTGTTTATTGTAAATGCAAATAAAATTGAGGACTGTGTTTACTACAATTTTAGGGAAAATTGAAAAAGATGTAGATGAGAAATTAAAAATAATGCTAAGGATTAAGTCTAGATTAGGTTAAATTTAGTGTAAGAGTGAAAGCTTCTATGCCAGGGTGCTATTAGACAGAGCTGGGGAAACTGTTGCCTTCACATGGGGTGCTTTGTGACTCCCTGCTGACCAAAAGTATTTGGTCAGCCTTTACCATCAAATGTAACAGTGTCTGAAATTACACCTGCAGACTAAGTTTTCTAGGCTAGGGTTAAATATCCCTAATAAGGGACCTATTTAAATTGAGATTTCAGGTCCTGGTTATTTCTTAAGACCACAGCAGCCTTGAAAGCAGGAAGAATGAGCTCAAGAAAGGAAAGGGAAACACACACTCTTTATCCTCTTCCAAAAAAGATTTTTTAATGAAAGTTACATTTTCTGCAATATAGCACCACCCATTAACATTACAGAATGCAGGGGGAGCTTACCCTGATTTTGCAAAACTTACCACGTCTTTTGAGTTCCAACAGGAATATAAACCATACATTTATAAAACCTTTATTAAAATATATATTTAAAATATATATATTGTCTTTTTCATGAGTTATTTGCAGGCAGATTTATTCCAATCTTTGAAACAACACAGAATACAACAAAAACAGGCTGGGAGCATAGGCTCGCGCCTATAATCCCAGCACTTTGGGAGGCCGAGGCAGGCAGATCACGAGGTCAGGAGATCAAGACCATCCTGGTTAACATGGTGAAATCCTGTCTCTACTAAAAATACAAAAAATTAGCTGGGCGTGATGGCACATGCCTTTAGTTCCAGCTACTCGCGAGGCTGAGGCAGGAGAATCGCGTGAACCCAGGAGGCAGAGGTTGCAGCGAGCCAAGATCGTGCCACTGCACTCCAGCCTGGGTGGCAGATCAAGACTCCGTCTTAAAAAAAAAAAAAAAAAGAATATAACAAAACCACTTTAAAAGAGAACAATGCATTTTAAATATATTTCCTGAAATAAACAATATTCCTTAGAAAAGATACAGGGTATTTAATTACCTAGATTTTAACAAAATATTCTTTATAGAAATAATTATAGTCTTTACCACAGAGTCACCAAATCTGTACCTAATCAAAACAGAGTCAAATAGAGCAGCTCTCATTCAACTCCATTAGGAAACACCAATTTCACATAGTACCACAGTACTTTTCTTGATGTACAACAGCAACCTCTGCTGGACAAAAAAGGGGATACTTGTATTAACAAAGCACTGAGCTCAAACCTGTTTTGAACAGGAAGAACTGAAAGTTAGATTTCTTTCATTTGCTGTTAAACCAACACCTAAGTTAAAATTATTTTCAAGGTCTTAAAGATGCACGGGCCTTATCAAGTATATCCTTTCTGATTTTTGGATAAGTTGGATGTGCTTCAAGAACCTGCAAAACAAATAAAGAATCCACAAAAACTTGTAACTAATGATCAAAAACTACGGAGCTAAAAAACTTACTAGAAATGAGCATTACAGTTAAGATTTCCTTGTACTAATACTACAATGGCTATAACACTTTTTAATGGTGGCATTTTAAATGTAACATGATGATTCCTTTCTATTAATGGTAGTTAGATGAGAACAATAGAATGTGAATATCAAATGTAGAAAATAAAACAAATATAATTGCTTAGCTAATAGATTAGTTGTATAAAACAATTATGTATCAATGATTTAGAATAGTTTTATAATTTAGCTTTTCATTCATAATATTTGATAAACCCTTAGAAAGTGACTTTTATACAGCAGCACACATTAGCTTTACCTGAAATGATCTTGAGATATACATATTTCTAGATCTACTGAGTCTAAGAGTGGGGAGATACTTGTTTCTTTTTAAATAACTCCAAAAATGATCCTAATATATAGCCTTACATTAGCATACAACCCTAACCTGACTGAAATACTGCTTTACAGAGACTCAGTAACTAACCGCAATTACTAAGGCCAAGTATTTACTGTAATGATGCTAACAGATAGCTCTGTGGGATAAGGGGCATTACAAAATTCTTTTCTAAGGAACTTCTCATGGAGGTCCTCACAATGTTTAATAGAATGTCTTACATGGAACATCAATGGGACAATGTATATATAAAGAGATTAAATTCTAAAACCATAATTTAAATATTTGCCATTTAAGTAGGTGATCATTTCGTAGGGGATGAATTACAGAATGTAATTGAATGACTTCTAATAGAATTCCTTTTTAATCTCTAATTGATCAATCTGAATTCTCTAATAACCAGATTCAGACACATTCATAAGAACTTCTAATCAGAACAATGATCTGGAGAATCTATATTATCTTCAAATATCTGCTAACTTAAAGACTAAATTTTATTTAACATGTTTCTGCCACTGGTCCTTTTTATTTATTTATTTATTTTTAAAGTAAAAGTCTCTTTTACTCCACCTCTTTAATCCTACTCCTTTCCATACATGTAAATATTCTATGGTTTATTGTTTAATATGTACCCTTCAGTGGTCTTTGTCTTTAAATTGACATAAACATTTTATTATTTGATCTCAAAGTAAAAACATGTTTTTTATTTAGGTGAACATCACTTTCTAAATTTTGAACATGGATAATCTTCCTAAACATACTTGATAAATTATTTAACTAAAATTATATATCCTCTACTTCTATTCATATACATCTGGAGATTTTAAAAAGTAGGAAATTGTGCATCTGAAAAATTTTAAGGAATCTAAATTTAAGTGTTTACCTGGTGACATATGTCAATTGAATCCACATATCTTTTTGCTTTTAAGTAATTAAATGCCAGTTTGTATCCTGTTAAGACAAAAACCATAAAACAGAATGATGGAGTACACTGCTACTATTACTTTTCCTTGCCTCCTCCTCTTTTTGCTTACTCACTAGAGAATCTGTAAGGGAGGCTGGTGAATGAACAACTAAACTACACTATACAGAGAAGTCGTGTGATAACAGAAGGCAGAGTGACACAAAAGAAGTGTAAGAAGAAAAGAAAGTGGAGTTGGAAAAAAGGATCACGGTGAGTACACTGATCAGTCAGAAAGCTGCCATCCCACAACTGTGGTTTCTATAACTTACTAGAAAAGTCTCATTTATTTCAGGTTATAGTAAAAACTCATCATAAGGCAGTAAATGACAACACAGCCATTCATTTACACAGTACAGATTTATTTAGCACTTACACAGGCAAACTGATGCCTACAGTTATGAGGTTTGCATTCTATTAGGAGAAAAAATACATTTTAAAATAGTTCCTTGAGTAAATGAATAATTTCAAAACTGAGATAAATGCTATGAAAGAAAGATCCAGGCCAAGTGAATTACCATAAAGAACCTGAATCGGGGAAGAAGAGAGTATCAAGAGATGTCCAAAATCTGAAGAATGAGGCATAAACTAGCCTAAGGTGGGAATCAAGGACACTCTCAGACAGAGGAAACTGCGTGGATTAAGGCCAGTGGTAGGACACATAGGGAGTTGATGAACTTGGAGTATGGCGAAAAGACAAAGCACGTAGGAGGGCGACACAGAGGAAGGCAGATTAGTCATCAATGACTGGTAAGAATTATCACAATTACTGATAGT